CACATGTGCATGTCATATGAGTTCTAGGGGAGAAAGCGGCCAAGAATCAGACCATCTTTGAACATGGAGTTTCCTAAAGTGCTGCCTGCCAATTCCTGGGGTTTCCACTGAACAGAACATGAGTTTTTAGTAGAATGGACTTATAAGGAATATGTGAATATTGTGACGAAGAGAAGCCTTTGTGCGGAACTAGCGCTGAGTCATACTGCTTCTTTTATTAAAAAAACCAACACATATTGTACATTCTTGGAATTGCAGGGGTTTTTTTCGTTTTTAAACATTCAAGCACGAAAAAGAATGGTGAGACAGTTATTTCAACAAATGTGTTGACATTTCAATTACTGCGGGAGGATGTTGCCAAATGTTGAACTATGGAGAACTGCAAATGTTTAGTCAATAAGACTTTTATGTGTGGTCTGGGGAAGGGCGATTGTGATCGACGTTGTGCAGAAATTGGACCCTGCCATTCATTATTGGAATCTGTAACTTAAGGAAATATTGCTGGAGTGACAGGCGTTTGCCATTTTTCAAGCAAACCAGGGGTAGGATTCAAATCTCCCCACTTTGCGGGCTGGGCAGGACCACTAACCTGTCAGTCACCAAAGTCACATGACAACAGATGATTAAACTTCCAAGCGTGCTCCGGAATCTTCCTTTACTGCCTGACTTGAATTCAAGCCATGGGGGTAATGGAACAATATTCCTTTCTGTTGCAGGGTGACAGGAAAAGGAGCCAAATTAAAATAGCACCCAATTTTACCAACAGCTGGAATGGAAGAATTGGGACCACATTTAGAATATGCTGCTGAATCTTCCTATTGATTTTGGCCCTATGGGTTTACCTGACCCCATCTGACATCATATAACATCAGGTGATGGACAGGTGGGCGTGGTTTGGGCCTAACCATATCATAGGCCAAATGGGAAGGCCTGCAAGGCCATAGGTTCCTCACTTCTGTCTTAAACAAGACCCTTCTGTAAAAGGCGAAAGATTTATATGATCTGAAGAGAAACCAGAGTATTGAAAAGCTATTGTAAAAAATTGCATACACTTTTATTAAATTCCCTGTTTTACATTTTAGAATATTCATTTAAACAACCTGAAAGTATCAATGACTTCCCTTCTTCTCTTTCCATAGTTCATTTTACAACACATAAATCCCTGCATATTTTATATAAACTAAACCATTCAGTAGTCCATTATTACATCCATCAAAACTTATTTACACGGTTGAATTTATTTTAATGCTGCCCACGTTTTCAAATAAACACAATTTCCCTCCATATATTCAGTAAATATTTTCCAGTCTTCTTTAAACGTATGTTCTTTTTGTTGTCTTATTCTATATGTTAGGTCCGCAAGCTGCACATATTTCATCAGTTTAAGTTGCCATTCTTCTTTGGTTTGGACGTCACTCAATTTCCATTTTGGGGCTAACAAAACACGGGCCACAGTAGTGGCATACATAAATAACCTTTTTTTGACACCTTGAAATATCCACCTGCGTTATCCCCATCAAAACGGGCTCTGGCTTTTTTTGGAAGAAAAACTCTCTCCCCCCCCAATTCATTATGGATTATTTCCCAATACTCTTTTACTCTTTTATAGGTCCGTCACACATGATAGAACGTACCCTCAGTCTCATTGCATCTCCGACATTTATCTGATTCAGTCTTATACATCTTAGCAAGTCAACTCGGAGTTAGATACCATCTGTAAATCATTTTCAGGTAGTTCTCCTTCAAGAATAATGAAACCACGGTGACTTCTTAGTACCATGCTCATTGCTCAGAACAAAGAAAAAACAGGCACATAATTCCAGGGTGAAATATACTCGGAGTCGAGAGTGGATTTCATGCTCTTTATTCAGCTCATAGCAGTGAGGAATGAAAGTTCCCCCAAAATATCTGCTTTATATACAATATTTACACAATGGGTCGCACGTGATTGGCTAATTCTGGGATTCTCCTGTAGGCCAAAGGTTGCGGATTCACTTCCACCTGGAGTTGGATTGGGTTGCTCCTGCGGACTAATCATACTGCTGCGTTGTTCTACGACCAATCAGACTGCTGCATTCTGGACCCTATTGTTCTAGGACCAATCAGACTGCTGCATTCTGAATCCTATTGTTCTAGGCAGTGGCGTAGCGTGGGGGGGTGCAGGGGGGCCCGGCCGCACCGGGCGCAACATCTGGGGGGGCGCGCTCGCACTCGCAGCTCTCTGCCCCTACCTGGCTCACTCACTCTCTCACACTGCAGTGCTGGCTGTGCGAATCCGATCCGAGCCGCTGGGTCGCCGCCCACTGGGGAGGGGTGGGATGCCACGCGTGCGGTGCTGAGTGAGTGCGAGGGACTATCTGGGGGAGGGAGAGTGCAGCGGCCGCCCAGCGCAGCGCTGAGCGCGGGAGAGAACCACACCAGACCAGACCAGGTAGCAGCAAGAAGAAGCTGGCAGCGGCGGCAGGTTAGGGGTTAGGGGGCGCAAATTACTTGCCTTGCCCCGGGTTAGGGGGCACAAATTACTTGCCTTGCCCCGGGTTATGGGGCACAAATTACTTGCCTTGCCCCGGGTGCTGACAACCCACGCTACGCTGCTGGTTCTAGGACCAATCAGACTGCTGCCTTTTGGATCCTATTCAACTCAGTACATAACACAGGGCATGTGCAGAGCTCCAACGAAATCAAGTTGCCTGCTTACATAATTGTTTTTAAAACATTCTTCATTGGGGGGGGGGTATTTCTTCTATCATGAATACATTCAAATCATTCTGTTCCAGTAATCATCAGCAAACCTGCTAAATTGACCTTGTGTGGTGGTCAGGATTCCCCCCACTGCCACAGTGGCTGCAAAAATGCATTTCTGACCCACATGCAGACCATGATTAATTCAACAAGATCTCCCAGTGCTTATTAGTGGGCTGCTTGTGGGAAGGCTGATGAGCCGTCTGTCCGTCAGTTTGGTATTAGACATGCCGGGGGGCGGGAATAAAGGGTAGGCAGTGGTTTGTGGCTTGGGAACAAAATGGGGGGGGTGATGTGGGTGATTGTGAGAGCCAGCCGTCTCATGGGGCAAAAGGCAACCCGGCTGGCATGATGAGTAAACCATGTTCTCTGAGCACCCAGGTGCTTACTCACAATCTGAAGGAGAGAGTTGGCAAAGGAGGCAGCAGCCTTCGCGTGGTTGCTTAGAGATAGCTCTCTATAAAAATGTACACCAGCATTTTTATTCCTTTCTCAGGCTCAACAGGGAGATCAAACAACATTGCACACTGAACAAATTGCGGCAATTTAACGAGCATTGGGAACGTCCAGCTGCACGGTGTTTTACTGAAAGCACCGGATTGCATATTGAAACGAAATAAATTAGTAAAATGCAGTGCCGCTAATATTACAGTGGCTTTTCTCAGTAAACATGCACAAGCCTCGCCGAAAAGCTGTTTTGTTTTTTTGCACACAAGATGTGGAAATGAGCAGAGCACAGGCCGTAGTTAGTGAAGTAAACTGCAGAGATTCAGAGAAATCGCCCCACGTGTCTTCCCCTCAAGGGTGTGCTTTCATTGCAGGGATATCGCATTTTCCGAACAGTCAACCCGTCGCATCTAGTAAAAAGGAAAAACATGCTTCTCCCCCCCATTTAGTGCTGCTATTATTGCTGTGCAGAATGTGGTTTCTCAAGTGTCACTGGCATCTTGTGACTTCTCTGGTGACGTCGCTAATGACGAGGGACGCACCTCTTGCCATATGCTCACACAATGTTGTGACCTTTCTGGCTTTATTTTCAAAATGGCTGTATTTCTAAACTTGTTGGAAGCAGCTTGTTCTGAACCCAAGATGATTGTATAGACAGTATAGAGTCCTGGCTGATCAGCAAAATGTGGGGTTTGAGTTCCTCCTCCCTCAGCAGACACAGGAGCCTGCAAACTTTTATCCTCACCAATGGGGACATGTAACAGTGGTGAAATGAAAGCTGCAGAATGATAGCTGTCAGGGCTGGCCCCAGGTTTCAGGGGCTGCTCTGGGCCCAGGGTGCCTGTGGGCTCCTTGTCGCCTTGTTTTCAACAACACAACGGATAAAACCAGGACAGTGTAAAACCAGGACAGAAGCACTAGCATTATAAACTTATGCAATCATCCCCATGTCTGAATGCGCTGTGAGTTCTAAAAAAACCTGCACTAGCTTCCAAAGCAACTACGCTTTTCCAAACTCTATAATGGAAAGCGTAATGCTGATGGTCAACAAAAGAGGTTCAAAGACTCTATCAAGGCAAATCTAAAAAAATGTAGTATAAACACTGACAACTGGGAAACACTGGCCTGCGAGCGCTCCATTGGAGAACAGCCTTTACCAAAGGTGTTGTGGGCTTTGAAGACGCTTGAACTCAGGACGAAATGGAGAAATGTGCTAAGAGGAAGGCACGCTTGGCAAACCCTCACCATGATCAACTACCACCCGGAAACCTATGTCCCCACTGTAGAAGGACGTGTGGATCCAGAATTGGCCTCCACAGTCACTTACGGACTCACTGTTAAAACCGTGTTTATGGAAGACAATCTTATTCGGCTACGAGGGATCGCCAAAGAAAAAGACTAGCTGCCTGTTACCTACCGAATCATGTTCATGTTTTTGTCATAAAGCCCTGAATAATGTAACTTGAGGTCTGGGGACCCGGTGAATCACTATATGAACCTCTGCTATCTTCCGAGAAAGGCTTTCGGGCCATACTGCAGTCAGCAAATTGTCATCTTGTGGTATAAATTTTCTATCACACTGCTCAGTATTTCAGTTTCTATACTCTGCTTAATTTTATTAATAATAAATGCTGAAATGTTCCAGCAAACCCTTAAAACATAGGTTGGGAGGTAGCCTGCAATAATAATAATAATAATAATAATAATAATAATAATAATAATAATACAATGTTATACCGTCCTTTATCAAAGGATCCTTGGGTGGTGTACAACGTTAAAGACACATTACAGGCTATCAATGTAAATATTAAGCAGGGATAGCTCAGTCAGTAAAGCAGGAGACTTAATCTGAGGGTCATGGGTTCAATCCCCACTTTGGGCAAGATCCTGCATTGCAGGGGTTGAACTAGATGACCTCAGGGTCCCTTCCAACTCTACAACTCTATGTTTCTATGAGTCTATATGCCTCAAAAATTAAAATTGCTCCTTAAGGATATGGTACGGTTTCTTCTTATTACATTTTTTTATCTGGCCTTTCTCAAAGCTGCCCAAGGGAATGTATGCAGCCTGCCATTTGCTTTAAGCAAGCCTTTGGGGTAGTTTTGGCTGAGATCACTTAGCTTTGGATTTGAACCCAGTTCTCTCTCGTGCTGCCGGGAACAAAACCAGTCATGACTTAGGCAGCCCTCTGAATTTAAGCCAGAGCAATCAACAAACCAGGATGGATTTTAGTGACTGTCCAGCAGAACATGCTTTTCCGATCTTAGCAACGGCTGCATCAGTCAGAGAAGGCAAGGAACTGTCCTGGCTCAGCTCAGCTGCAATTTCCTGTACTCACTGCCCGAGACTCTTAAATGCTGCCGTTCTCAACAGCTTTTGAGAATCACAAGGTTCTCTTTTATGAGGCTGGATACAAATTATGATTACTGAAAGGCAGTCAAAAGAAGAAAGGAGCAGTTCCAAGAAGGACTTATTTCTCTCTCTCTCTGAGACAGCATTTACCACTAAAGGGGAAAAGAAATCTGATGGGAAAGGACTGAAGGCAGGCACAATATTTTACAGCTGACGTCTCCAGGCAATTAGTGGTAACCTTTAGAGAGAATTATTCTACCTGGAAAGCTGGAGCACAACTGAACAACCTCACAAATTGCCTGGTCCTGGAGGCTAGACAAACACCATTCAAGTGGTTCTGGGGCAAAGTAAAAACACAGTTTGTTATTTAAAAAAATGTTCCAGGATCACTCATCCACACTTGTCCAATGCCTAGGAAGCATGGGCCTGAGAGCTTTTCCAGTTGTCCAACCATCTCATCCTCTGTTGTCCCCTTCTTCTTGTGCCCTCCATCTTTCCCAGCATCAGGGTCTTTTCCAGGGAGTCTTCTCTTCTCATGAGTTGGCCAAAGTATTGGAGCCTCAGCTTCAGGATCTGTCCTTCCAGTGAGCACTCAGGGCTGATTCCTTCAGAATGGAGAGGTTTGATCTTCTTGCAGTCCATGGGACTCTCAAGAGTCTCCTCCAGCTGTGCTTGCTGTACTGTGAACTGTAAATGCATGGTCTTTTCTAAATAGCAGTCACCCACTTAAATTCTATTGTGTTTTACCCCTACAGTATTTTGGCTTGTAATTATTGAAAAAGGATGACCCTGTCAAGGTTTTCCCTTGACCTGCATGTTGACCTAAATGATGAAAAACTAAACCAATTAATTTACCCTTGACATAATGAACATCAGGGCTAATGAAAAATAGCTATGTAAACAACTGGGATCAGCCCTCAGAAAATGACCCCTAGTTTCACGCAGCACCCTTTTACTGTGAGGGACCAAAAATAATTCAGATGATTTGCTCTTGTGCTGTCAGGAGATGCATTTGATCTTTGCAATTCTCTGGAGTTTCGGCAGCTCCCTGGGAATGGAGAAACAAGAAGGCAGATAATCATAGACTGCATGCTAAACCCTCATTGCTTTGAGGTTTTATTATATTTACGTAGCATATAAATCTTGGGGGTTGGGGAATTGTCATCTGAAGGGTTTCACCATACAGTAACTCCCAAGTGCAAGGCAATATGCCAGTTGGTGACTCACAATAAGGGTCATATAAATCAGTCCAGATTCCCTTAATCTTATGAAGTGCTTATATCAGAAGGAAATGGTGCATTTAACTAAGGTCCCTCAGTCTCTGAAAACAGTTAACATATTAGTTTTATTTCCATTCAAGCCAGTGTCGCACAACTTAAACCTTAAACGGCTCAGAATCTCAATACCTCAAGGACCGCCTCTTTCCACATGAACCTACCTGGACCCTGAGATCATCTTCTGAGGCCCTCCTTCGTGTGCCCACCCTCCTTGAGTGGTCTTGAGGGTGGCAACACGAGAACAGGGCCTTCTCTGCAGTGGCTCCCCATCTGTGGGATGCTCTCCCCAGTGAAGTTTGCCTGGCGCCTTCGTTATACACCTTTAGGCACCAGGCAAAAATGTTCCTTTTTAAACAGGCCTTTGGTTGATCGGATTTACATCCCATGCCCTTTTAAAATGTGGTTTTTTTTGGGGGGGGGCTATTGAGTTGTTTTTATTTTTATTAGGTATTTTGTTGTTTTATATCTTGATTTTATTCTGTGAACCGCCCTGAGACCCCTGGATATAGGGCAGTACAGTATATAATTTCAATAAATTAATAATAATAATAATAATAATAAATAGCAACAACAATAATAGCCTAAACTTTTGATGTGACTGTGATACCCCACTCCAAAACCAAAGAACTGCCAGAGGCAGGTCTGGTTTGCACTATTAGAATAGAGAAATGAGTTGTCACTCCAAACATTGATTCTGGAACCCATCACTCTGGATACACACCAACATACAACTTGCATTTGTGCCTGCAGTATCTGGAAGCAGTCAGAACGGTTTTAGAGTCACTCTGTATCATTCTAGTTCTATCCCTTGTATAGCTCTAAACTCTAAATGAGGAACGGCTAAGGGAGCTGGGCATGTTTAGCCTGGAGAAGAGGAGGTTAAGGGGTGATATGACAGCCATGTTCAAATATATAAAAGGATGTCACATAGAGGAGGGAGAAAGGTTGTTTTCTGCTGCTCCAGAGAAGCAGACACGGAGCAATGGATCCAAACTACAAGAAAGAAGATTCCACCTAAACATTAGGAAGAACTTCCTGACAGTAAGAGCTGTTCGACAGTGGAATTTGCTGCCAAGGAGTGTGGTGGAGTCTCCTTCTTTGGAGGTCTTTAAGCAGAGGCTTGACAACCAAATGTCAGGAGTGCTCTGATGGTGTTTCCTGCTTGGCAGGGGGTTGGACTCGATGGCCCTTGTGGTCTCTTCCAACTCTATGATTCTATGATTCTATGAAACTTGAATCTCTGCTTTGCCCCGTCTTGACTATAGTAGGGAATCTAAATATAGCTTTCCCCCTTTTTCACATAAGTGGATGAAATTTCTAGGCATACGAGCTCCTCCTGAGTGGGTTAAGCTTTCAGGCAGCTCCATCCAAGGGATTTCATACAGGGAACCTTTAAAATTCTGGGTGTTTTGGGTTTTTTTTAATGATAAAGTCTCCAACTTTTAAAAAGCGCTGTCAGATTTTGATACAAATTGCAGTTATAGTCGCCCCTTCTGAGAGGATGAAGCATGACACATTTCAGAAAGTGGCTTTCATGCAAGGATGGGAAAATAAAAAGTGCATTTCTTCCCCTTTTTGGGGGGAGGACCCTAAGTTTGAAAACTGGACATATGGTGGGGGTGCCCCTGGGTAAGAAACCTGCTAAATTTAAACAAATAGGTCCAGGGGCAAGGGTCAGCAAACATTTTCAGAAGGGGGCCAGTCCACTGTTCCTCAGACTATTGTACTCTACCTCAATCAGCTTAATTTCATTTCTCAGAAAAGGAAAGCTGAAAACAAAAGGTCTGCGTACTGTTTAGCTTTTTGGAAAAACCAAGGCAGCAGAGATACTTGGAAAGTTTGGAGTTCCCTGATCCACACTGCCATGTCATGTTAATGGCACAAACCAACTTAAGAATTTGAAAGTCTGCCCTGTATCACACCAATACTCCTTGTTACTCGGAGCAAGCAGCAGGTCATTGCACAGGCCTACATATACATAGGGATGGGTGAATCTATCAATTGTGAGTTTTTTCTCCATCACATTTTTTTTTGGTGTGATTTTAAGTCCCGTTCTCCACATTTCCACCAGTTTGTGATTTTTAAAAGTCCTTATGAAAACACATCAGTATTTTAGTGTGCATTTACCCAGATACACACGTTTGTATGCAATTTTGCCTTATATACACATTTTTACACAGTAATTTCCCAAAGAAATTTCGAACCTTTTCATGAGATCTTGCCGGAACCTGGAAGCTGCTACTGCTGCAGCCAAATGACTCTGGGGGGGAGCAGCTTCCCATTCTGCCAACAGCAAAACAGAACAGACCACCCTGATTTTTATTCACACTTTGCATGCATTTTTGCATGAATTATGTGGCTGGAAAATTGCATTTCAAAAATTCGGAGCAGTGTGAATTTCGAAAATTGCATTTCAAAAATTCGGAGCAGTGTGAATTTAGAAGCTTGGCTGTGTTTCAGTTTTTGAATTGTTTTAGAAGTGAATTCGGAAGGTTGCATTTTTAAATGCTGACTGACATTTAATATCTTCCCCAACCCTACATATACCACACTGATATTGTCCAGTGTGGCAGAAGACGAATCTTTTCAACCATTAGTGCAAGCTGTAGAGGTCCATGCTTTGAAATACCAGTGAACCTTGACCAGGGGTGCCATTGCCCCCTCAAGGTTGTGGGTGCCTGCCACCATAATGCAGATGTGTGCCATCACACGCACATGCCTGCACATATTGAATGTGACATCACAAGCACTATGTGCAGGCGTGTATATGTGATGTTGCACATCTGTGTTGCTGTGGCTGGTGGCAGTGGTGTCTCCTCTTCACGATACGATAATCTTTATTGTCATTGTCCCATACAGAAGAATGAAACTGAAAAATCCACATAAGACATTCAGAACCAACAAGCTTGCTATCCCAGCCATCCCAACCTGGTTAGCCCCCTAAAAACTCTGATACCCCGTTTTTAAATACAATATACTCCCATAGAGACTCCTTACACTGCGTTTAAAACCAAAATCGCATTTGGATAGAAACTGTTTCTCAGGCGGCTAGTCCTAGTCTTTATAAACCTGTACCTTCTTCGAGAAGGCAGAAGCTGAAAGAGATCATTTCTGGGGTGCACACTATCCCGCACTATCTCTGCAGCTTTCTTATGGCACTTGGAAGCATAGATTTGATCCAAGGAGGGAAGAGTGCACCCAATTATTCTCTCCACAGTCTTTACAACCCTGGACAGCATTGTTTTCCCCCTGACCGTGCAGCTCCGAAACCACACACACAGACCATAAGTTAATACACTCTCCACAGTACAATGGTAAAATGCCATCAACAGGCCCTTTGAGAGATTGTTTTTCCGGAGGATTCTCAGAAAATATAACCTCTGCTGTGCTCTCTTCATCAGGTCTTTGCTGTTTTCTCCCCAGGTTAGGTCATCTCTCAATTCCACTCCCAGAAATCGAAAACCAAGACCTGTTCCATGCACTTCCCCTCAATAATAAATTAAGTGGCTGAATATTCAATTTACATTTCCTAAAGTCCACAATAATCTCTTTTCTTTTCTTTAAGTTAAGGAGTAAGTTGTTTTTCCTGCACCACTCCCCCACCTGCTCAACTTCCTTCCTATAGGCCGCCTCCCCCTCTCCAGCCATGATTAAACCAACCACCGTTGTATCATCTGCGAACTTAATGATCTTATTACTCCTCCTCTCCTCAGCCAGTGAGACACTATTTTCCATGGGGAGGGGCTCAGACTTGGAGGCAGAGAGACTCTGCCTCCATGTCTGAGGCCCACACCCCCAGAAAGGGTGCCTTGCTTCCTGGCTGTGGAAGGCGGAGCTGAATTGCTTCTCTCTTGGAGGCAGCGCCACTGCTGCCTGCTGGCTGAGCTCATTGAGTTTGTGGGTGCTCACCCCCCACAATTTTATATTTTTTGGGTTCCCAAGCACGCATGGCCCCATGGATTTGGCTCCTATGAGCTTGATTCAAGAGCAAAGCTGTGCCTGGCCTTTTGGTGCCATGGGAGGAGCACTCAATTTATTGTGCAAAAACTCTCCGGCAAAGTCATGTTATTCTGACCTCTCAGCAAAGACTGACTTGCCACAAAGCTGAATTAAAGTCCCAGGTCTATACTGCATGACATGTGCTGTAGTCCCACTTCCTCCGAACTTGTTCTGCGAACATTTTCTGGGAAAATGCAATGAGTTTCTATTTTACACTGTGTTCTTCATTTGCTGCCACAACCCACTCCAATGAATTTCTTTCTGAGAGGAAGAAAGAAGAGGGAGCATTTAAAAACATGGGAGACAAGAGGCAGCTTTCCATAGCTGGAGGTTAGCAATTCAAGGAAAACACCAATTAAAGCAGAGCATCTGCACTGATTGACAACAGGCTCATCGCTTAGAATGTTCTGTTAGTCAGCTGGCCTATTGAGTCAGCACCATATAGAATAATTTGTCAGCAACAGGAGTGATACTACTCTCTTTGAAATGCAGTCAGTGAATCTGAGCTGTGAGTCACTGGGATAAGTGAAGCTCATACAGGATCACAGTTCAAAGTAACAGAATACATAAGAAACAATGCAATCCCCACGGAATCGGAACTTCCACTTCCACATGTGTTCTAAGGAGAGCAGCCCATACAGAGGCTGTTATTCTCAACCATTTCATGGGCTTGCATTCAGTTTTGTGTGTAGGATGATGATAAGTAATCACGCTGATCTGTGAATGAGTAAGCTGCTGGTATAATGAAGCTTTAAGCCTTTGTCTCTGGCATTTGGAAATTCTTACTGTACAACAATTTGGCAACAAAGATGGGGAGGAGGGCTCTTTTGCCTTTGACGCTACCATCACCACCACCTTTCCTCCAAAACACTCCCAGATGAAATACGAGAGGCCCCCATCTGTATTGGCATTCTGTCGGCTTGGAAGATACCTCTCTTGATCTGAGTCTGTTGTTTCCCTCATTGTGTCATTTAAATTAGATTTTAGTCCTCCTTTTAAATATTGAATGTTTTGTGTTGTGTAAGTGGCTTACATATTTTTTAAACCTGTAAGTAAGCTATTTGTTTCCCCCCATTTTTTAAATTGATTTTCACAAATTATAAACACACAAACAAATAAACAAACAAACATAAATCATTACCTTATTAAAACTGTTAAGTGACTTCCTCGTATCCCCCAGTTGAATTTCAATGTATATAATTTTAACGGTTTTCCAAATCAAAATTCTTATATAATTAACCGAATCACTTAACATACATGTGTCTTATCCATTCAGCATTACATGTTTGTAAGTAACCTATTTGGGCATTAAGCAATACAGTGGTACCTCGGGTTACAGACGCTTCAGGTTACAGACGCTTCAGGTTACAAACTCCGCTAACCCAGAAATAGTACCTCGGGTTAAGAACTTTGCTTCAGGATGAGAACATAAATTGAGCAGCAGCGGCGCGGTGGCAGCGGGAGGCCCCATTAGCTAAAGTGGTACCTCAGGTTAAGAACAGCTTCAAGTTAAGAATGGACCTCTGGAACGAATTAAGTTCTTAACCCAAGGTACCACTGTATACAAACTGGTTTAAAGAAACCCACATGGAAGAGCCTATGATTCCATTTCCTTCATGGATAAGAATGTTTGATCTCTTTTTGCTGGGTATTCATGAGAAAGAACGCCTATAGGTAAAGATATGTGCATTGGGATGCGGGTGGCGCTGTGGTCTAAACCACTGAGCCTCTTGGGTTTGCCGATCAGAAGGTCGGTGGTTCAAATCCCCGTGACGGGGTGAGCTCCCGTTGCTGTGTCCCAGCTCCTGCCAACCTAGCAGTTCGAAAGCATGCCAGTGCAAGTAGATAAATAGGCACAGCCGCAGCGGGAAGGTAAATAGCATTTCCATGCACTCTGGTTTCTGTCACAGTGTCCCGTTGCGCCAGAAGTGGTTTAGTCCTGCTGGCCACATGATCCAGAAAGCTGTCTGTGGCTTCCATCCACCAATATCTGCCAGCTTCTGTTAGGTCCATCATGAGACATCCACCAGCTTCCAACCATGGATACCAGCAGCCTTCAGGCTAGCAAACTTGCCTTATTATCACTTCCAGCATCCCACTGCCAGAGGATTGCCTCCTTCCATTCACCAGTTTGCCTCCTCCAAGTGGAAGAAACTTGGGCAGTGCTGAATGTCACATCCGTTGCCAGGTGTGTCCTGCTGGAAATAGAAAAGGGCTTTCCCCTTGGCCTGCCTTTATATCCACTCAGTTGCCAGGGGCTTTTGTGACATCACAAGAAACCCACAGCCAATGGCAACAGCTGTAGAGGCATCATCTTCATTGCTTTGAGCCTCACAATGGCGGGTAGACCTATCAGTGATTGTGTGCTTGTTTATTGGGGACATGGGTGGTGCTGTGGTCTAAACCACCAAGCCTTTTGGGCTTCCCAATCAGAAGGTTAGTGGTTCGAGTTGCTGTGGCGGGCTGAGCTGCCATTGCTGTGTCCCAGCTCCTGCCAACCTAGCAGTTTGAAAGCACACAACTGCAAGTAGATAAATAGGTGCCGCTACGGCAGGAAGGTAAACGATGTTTCCATGCACTCTGGTTTCCGTCACGGTGTCCCATTGCGCCAGAAGCAGTTTAGTCCTGCTGGCCACATGAGCTGGAACACTGTCTGTGGACAAACACCGGCTCCCTCGGCCTGAAAGCGACATGAGCGCCGCAAACCCAGAGTCGCCTTTGACTGGACTTAACCATGCAGGGGTCCTTTACCTTTTACCTTTATGTGCATTGCTCATGCCAGGGCCAGTCCCCATACAAAGCGAGGTGAGGTGATCACCTCTGGCCTCCAAGGAATGTGCTTCCCACTGCTGTTGCTGCTGCAGTGGCAGCGATGGCTGCGGCAATCCTTGGAGCTAGATCTACTGCCTACTTGGTAGGGGTCTCTCATTCTGCCTCTACAGCAGTCTCCAAAAATAAGAGGTACTGCTGGTATCCTACCACCCGTAGGGAGGATATGATAGAGGTTGTCCTCTGGGGTCTCCTGGGGTCTGCATCCTCCTGGCCTGAATCAGAGTGGGCCCCTTTCCCCCTGCAACAGCTTTCAATTCACATTTCAGCTTGATTTGGGTAAGGTTGATTTGATACCCCCTCTTGTTCCTGATATAGATTTTCACTCACCCCTTCTTTCCTGGTGGGGCAGGGGGGACTCAAATTGGTAATTCTCCTCAAAATGGCTCATGTACTGCTTGGGAGCAGAAGCTCAGAGAATCTTCTAAGCTTTGCCTCTTGTGGATGATAAATATGAGGCAGCTTTGATGGCTTTAAGGAACATTTTTGCACCTAGAGTGAATTCTGTGGTAGAGCGCTACGCATTTCACCAGTGGGGAAAGAAGCAAGGAGAAATATAATGCTGATTTAAGAGAAAGCCACTTCCGAACCTGGCGAGGAGGTGGGGTTGCGGGCTTCACGCCCACCCCACATGCGCGGGGGCTGGTTCCAGCCCCCGCAAGACCGAGGGAATGCCAGCTGCGTCGTCTGCCCAGCCAGCCAATCGGGTGGCTGGGGGGGCGTGGCCTGCCCTATTTAGGGCCGGCACGGCCGGGGCTCGCCCTCTTTTTGCCGCGCCAGCCATCCCGTTTTCCCACCCTCCCTCCCTTTAGGTAGGCTCCTGACTTTGCTATGGACTTAGGTCGGTCGCCACAAGGGGCCTGGTAGGAATTTTTCCCAATTGGCAATTTCAGCCAATCGGTTTTTCGCCTACCTCGTAGCAACTCATCACAACTCCTTGGCATTGGCAGTTAGGCATTGGTAAGGAGGGGTTAAGAGGATGTGTGGGGGGAGGAGGAAATGCCATCACCTCCCCCCCAAAGCTAAGGGTAGTCCGATAAAGGATTCTGGGGGGGCGTGGCCCTGTCCAAAGCCTATGGAGATGTGGGCCTAAGGCATGCCCCCGAGCGGTGACCCGGGGGAGCTCCTAGTTGACGTGCCTCAGCAGGACTCCCCCTTATGGTGTTAACCCTTGCCGTGTCTTCATGCAATCGGGCTGGAGCCGGCTAGTCGATAGGACCAATGCCTAGGCCAATACCTCTCATTCCTGAAATCAATAAAGTTGTGGCCTAATTCGCCCATTAACCTTAATACTTGGTGTCCTGTGTCTTTATTTCTCCCTGGTGGGGGGCGGGAACTCGCCACGCAATTGGTTGCTACTGGTAAATGGTGATGCACCAGAGGAAATGTTTTGGGATCAGTTGGTAGAGTGATACTTCAAATCAGGGAACACGTCTTGCTAGAACCTGATCTCACCTTGGAGAAGGCCATGGCTGTTGACAGCCAGACAGAAACCTCAGTGGCAGAGGCAACGGCTTGATTGCCTTTGCAACTGCAGAAAACAACAAGGTCTTGGGACTGTTTTAAGATGATGCAATTAAAAGTCCGCAGTTTCAAAAATGCGCACAGGGCTACTGTTGTGGATCAATGCACCAGAAAGCCAATGGTGTCAACAGCTCTGCAAAGGCGGCTCAGTGCAGATAAAGAAAAAGGAAAGGATAGTTTGCATGGATTTGCCATAGTACCCAATCTCTTCAAGCTATAAGTGAAGTTGCTTGGGCAGAAGTTGGATAACCTAGTGTGGGTAACCAATATCTTGCCTCTACAGTGGATAGAATTACACACATTGTTACAGGGTCTGTCCCTGCAGAAAGGGATTTGCAGAACATTGAGTTGATGTAAGATACAGGCTCCATAGTCTCAACATTGCACATCAGTTTTCATGCAGTTCTCTTGTATTGTAAAGGCACCCAGATTGCATTTCATGGTAAGCCATACCAGGAATTGAATTCCAGTCCTTGCTTGTCTAGCAGCAAAAGTAGCATTTGAGACAAATTGTGTGGCAGCTGAGTAGGAATGGGGGAGAGATTTGATTCATTTTGCATTTGAATCCAAATTTATCAATATTGCACCTTCCAAAACAATATGAGAACCAAGACCCAGCCACCTTTCAAAATTCCCACTGAACTGCCATTTTTTGCAGTTCTCCGAACAACCAAACTTTACAAAAAAATCATGTTAAGTAAAAGTGTGTGTGAAAACGAATACATTAGTGAAAGTAACATACAGGTGTGCATTATATTAGTTGAAACTGCGTACAAAAATGTGCTTATTAAGAGATATCTGCACTAAAATGCTGAAGAATTTTCAAGAGAGTTTTAAAAAGAAAAAATGTCAAATTGCTACATTAATGTGGAGAACTGAACGTAAGTTTGGAAAAATATGAGAAACTGAAAGAATCAATATGGGCAGATCTTTCCACCTCACTGAGTTCTATGTTGTCCCAGAGGGATCTACCAAACCAGGAAGAGATATTTTTGTTCCAGTACATCTACAAGAACTTACTGGGACTATTTACACACCAAGCTACTAGCAATATAGCACAGAAAAATTACAAGGAAATTGGGCAGTGCAACAGCAGTTAGAGGAAATTCTGAACCTTTCTCGAGCTCTCTTTTTTAACTTCCTTATTCTGTTTCCTCTCAGCATATTTCAGAAGGGGGATGAATTTCCAGCACTGCAAACAGCTGCACTGCTTCTCTAATACAGCAGAGCTAAGCAAAATGCCAGAAGGCAGTAGGTAATTTAATAAGGCCAGGCATGTAAGACATTGACTAGCCCTGCCATGGAGAAATGAATGATGCCATTGTGTTCTACTGCTGCTCTGTAAGCCAGGCACCCTTTCGAAGTAGGAAAAAATGGTACTGCTTCCCTCTGATAAAATAGTTTTCAAAGCAAAGATTAATAAGATTGATTTTCAGTGTTTACTACATTTTTCCAGAGGAAATTAGGTAATTTCAGAGCGAACAAATGAGAAAATCTGCCTTTTCTCTCAGGAGACTCTCCCTCTCTTCTCTCGCTCTTCCAAACCACTTATTTTATTATTTTACACTGTGGAATGAAGTGTTTATTATGGTGGTAGAAAGGAAAGAGACTGGCGGCTGTGTTATTTCTATAGCAATTGCCTTAGTAGTAACATGGCAACATTACACCAAGGAGTATGGGCCCATTCTAACATTTCTGTTGTACCTTTCTGCTGAAACAAGAGGCTCTGAGTGGGTCCTGAATTAGTAACAGAATTACGATGCTTTTGGAAAAGACAGGTGAGGAACCTGTGACCAGATGCTGTTGGGCTCCAGTTCCCATGATCCTCAGCTGGTGTGGCCAGATGGTTAGGAAAGATGGGTGCTTTTGGGAAATGATCTAAAATGAATTGAAAAAAATGTTTAAAAGTACTTCCCCCCAAAAAACCCCAGAGTCCTTTCTGTTGGGGATAATTCTGACTGAAATTCCCAGGTGTCAAAAAAGGTTATTTATGTATGCTACTACTGTGGCCCACGTTTTGTTAGCCCCAAAATGGAAAACGAGTGAGGTCCCAACCAAAGAAGAATGCCCACTTAAGTTGACAGAATATGCACAATTTGCAGACTTCACTTATAGAATAAGAGTACAAGAAGAACGCATGTTTAAATAAGATTGGAAAACGTTTATTGAATATATGGAAAATAATTGTGTACAGCTGAAAACGCTAGCAGCATTAAGGTAAATTCAACAGTATAAATAAGTTTTGATGGGTGCAATAATGGAAAACCAAATGGTATAGTTTTTGTAAAATATACAGGGATTTATGATATGTAAAATGAACCATGGAAAGAGAAGAAGGGAAGCCATTGATATCTTAAGGATATAAAATGAGTATCTACCCACTAGGGGAGAGTGGTTATGTAAGCTTTCAGAATACTTAGAATTAGCCAAATTGACAGACATAATAAGACAAAAACCAAAAAGTGAAGTAAAAAAAGAGTGGGAGTGCTTAAATGAATACCTTAAAAGTCAAGGTTTGAGGACAGAAATCTGGCTGAGTCTGGAATAACCTTGTGAAGTGAAAGGATAAGAAAGAGGGATTTATATTTAGATGTTAGGATAGAGATGATAAGGAAAACAGGAATACACAATGAGGGATAAAGGAGGTGCTGTGGGATTGGTGGAAGTCATTGTTTGTTTTTCTTTTTAGTGTTTATATTATTGACTTGTAAGATATGGATTTGTTTCTTTTGTTTTTTGAATGTTGGTTTTTGTGTTTTGTGTATTGTTATTTTTTGATATTTTTCGTGTTGTTCTTGTGTGGAGAATACTATAAAATTTATATTAAAATAAAATAAAAAATA